GTCTCCCCTCCCTGAGCCTAAAAGCCAAACTAGGGTGCTTGGTCGGCTGCCCTCTGTTGACGGGCACAGCAATGGAAAGTAAAAGCCAGAAGCAGGAAGGGTGGGGTGGACAGGGAAGAAGGAGCACAGGGAGGGGTGAAGGTGAGAAAAGGGTGGTGCAGCATGGCAGGAGAGGACATGGGGCTCTGGAGGAAAGGCTTCAGGTCTGGAGCCCTTTGCAGAGCAGAACAAAGTGGGAAGCTACCCACCACCACCAGAGAAACAACCAGAAAATATGCAGAAGGCATTTCCTCTCTCAAGGAAGATAAACAGGAGATTCATAAACAAATTTTACAAATTGTCCAGCTATTTAAAGCATCCTGGTAGAAACTCACATCTTTTGTAAGCATAAAGCCAATCCCCCAAACAGTTAACTTCTCTCTTGGAGAGAAAGAAGTTGAGAAAAGGAGGTAGGGGAGAAATTATTTTTCCCAGTCATCAACTGCTCAGCCTGGGACAGTGACCAGGTACCTACCCTCTCCAGGCCTTGCTTCACTCTTCTGTGAAAAAAGAATGGAAATTTCTGCCCAATAGCACTAGTGTGGAGAAGAAAGAAGATGTACTCTCTGGCAATATGGTAGGCCAGATACCCTGTTCAGTCTTTCTAGTTGAAACAACTAATGTGCAGAATAAAAATTTAAAAATAAAGATTATAGCTGGGTGGTATACACCTATAATCCTAGCTACTAAGGAGGCAGAGGTAGGCAGATTACAGTCCAAGGTTAAAGGGACAAAGTTAGTGAGACTCTGTCTAAAAAACTGGGCTGACAGTGTCTCAAGTGGTAGAATGTGTGCCTAGCATGAGTGAGACCCTGGGTTCAAACCCCAGTACTGCCTATATATATATATATATATACACACACACATACACACATATATACATATATGTAATACATATATATGTAATTACACATGTGTAATATATATATTTATGTACATATATATGTACAGAACTAAAACAAAGAGGACACCCACATGCATCTATGGGGTTCTCACCAAAAAATATTGTATTATTAACATAGATGCTAACAATTTTTTTTTCTCAAAGCAAAAAGGGCTTGGGGGTATGGCTCAAATACTAGAGCACTTGCCTAGCAAGCACAAGGCCCTAAATTCAATCCCTAGTACTGTTACAAAAAATGTATAAACACATTGCTGAGCTAGTACAAATAGAAAAATCTCTCAAAGACCAAAAACCAGACTAAAAGCAAGAACTTCGGGAGGTAAGCCAGTTCCAAAGCTGTTTTTACCCTGAGAGCTTTCTGCTGGAGACACTGAGTTTCCAATGGTCGCTGTGTAGGTTTCAAAGCCTACAGAGACCCAAGAAGCTGGGACTCCAGAGGGCTCCACTCTTGGTGAATGAGAAATGTACTCACAGAAGGAGACTGCAAGGAAAACTTGACCTTGGGATGGGAAAAAAAAAAAAAAAAAAAACTCTCCTGGAAAGTTGTAGCCCTAAACTGGACATTACACAGATTTGTTGTTTTTTTTTTTTTTTCATTTTTCTTTTATTATTCATATGTGCATACAAGGCTTGGTTTATTTCTCCCCCCTGCCCCCACCCCCTCCCTTACCACCCACTCCACCCCCTCCCGCTCCCCCCCTCAATACCCAGCAGAAACTATTTTGCCCTTATCTCTAATTTTGTTGTAGAGAGAGTATAAGCAATAATAGGAAGGAACAAGGGGTTTTGCTGGTTGAGATAAGGATAGCTATACAGGGCATTGACTCACATTGATTTCCTGTGCGTGGGTGTTACCTTCTAGGTTAATTCTTTTTAATCTAACCTTTTCTCTAGTTCCTGGTCTCCTTTTCCTATTGGCCTCAGTTGCTTTAAGGTATCTGCTTTAGTTTCTCTGCATTAAGGGCAACAAATGCTAGCTAGTTCATTACACAGATTTGTAATCTGAATTATGTTACTGTTGCAGCCAGAAAACCTTTAAGAGGAGAACTAGTTCAAATTGATTTTTGGTTAGCCCCTCCATGCCAACAGCTCCAGAACCTAATGCAAACCCTCTGTGGAAACAACAGCTTCAACCCACACCTCGTGAAATTCCCAAAGATAAAGTTCCAAGGACAGCAAGCAGCTGACAGTCAACAGGCCTGGACAACACCAGCCAACAGACACAACAGGCGACAGAACCAGACCTGCTGAGACACTGGATTCTGGAATTATCAGACACAAGACAATTTCAAACAACTAACTCAGTATTTTAAAGAAATAAAATTCTTCAAATATGAGCAAGAGACAAGAGACCAGAAACACTGCCAAAAGATTTTGAAAAAATAATAGAATAGAACGTCTAGAAATAAGCAAGGAAAGAAATGAAGAGAGGCTGGGTGTGGTGGTGGTGTACACCTGTAAACCCAACTACTTGGCAGGTCAGAAGCTAAGGCTGGCCTGGCCAAAAGTGTGAGGCCCTGTCTAAAACCAAAAAGGGTTGGAGGTATGATTCAACTGGTAGCCCAGAGTTCAAATTCCGCTATCACACACACACACACACACACACACACACACACACAAAGTGAAGAGTAAAGAAAAAATTCAATGGATGGATTAAGCAACATTTAAGATACAAAATCAATTCACTAAATAGAAAACAGATTTGAAGAAATTATTTAGACTCCAGCACAGAGGGACAAAGATGAAAAACACAAAACAGATTGGAAGATGCAGAACAGTAAGAAGGTTAACATGAGTCTAAGTGAGGTTCACACAGGAGGTAAGAGAGAATAGGGAAGTGGTAATACTCAAAGAAATGAAGGGTGAGAATTTCTGAGAACTGTTGAAAGACAGCAATCTTCTGCTCTAGGAATCCCAACGAAACCCAAGAAGAAGATGGACATTCACCTCTAGACATAGTAGCGATACCACAGGACACCAAAGCAAATAACAATCTCTAGAGTAGCCAGAGAGAAGCGTCCAACCACAGGGATAACAACTGGACAACTGGCCTGACAGCCACTACAGCAACACTCAATGCCAGAGACTGTCACTGAACAGTTTTGATGATTTAAGAAAAAATACCTAGGAATGCTACCATTCAAAACCAAGAGCAAAATAAAGACATTCCTAAACCAACAAAAATTAAAACCACAACAGAAAAATCTTGAGATCTGGCCACCGACAGAGCCTTACTAATAGATAATCTCAGATTCATGGAAAAATGGCGAGAAGAAATATTGATAAGTAGATGGGTAAATCTATATAAATACTGTATAAACAAGGATGTCTAATTTGCAGGGGAAAGTCGGGTCAAATGAGAACACAGGAGAACATATAAGTAGATAAAAATATATAATAGTATGTAAGTTTAGAGAGGTAGCAATTTGAACTGAACCCATCTATGACTCTTGTACTGATCAGAAGGAGGTCAAAGACTCTGGTTAATTGTAGACTTTAAGTACACCTGTTAAAATGGCTTGGATAACAACTGAGAGAGCAGACACAAAACATGCAGAGTCTAAACACGAAAATGGAAAGCAGAACAGGGAGGGGGATCACCTCACTGTAAAAGCACATAAATGTAGGACCAATAAGTCCTATATCATCGATAAGATATGTAATAATTGTTTTGTTTCTCCTTCCTTCCCTCCCTCCTTCCTTCCCTCCCTCCCTCCTTCCTTCCTTCCTTCTTTCCTTCCTTCCTTCCTTCCTTCCTTCCCTCCCTCCCTCCCTCCCTCCCTCCTCCCTCCCTCCTTTCGTGTGTTTTGAGCCAGGGTTTTACTTTGCAGCCCAAGGTGGCCTGGAACTACTAATTCTGCCTCAGCCTCCCAAGCGTTGGGATCACAAGCATGCACCACCATGCCCAGCGAGAGATGCAGTACTTCTACACATCTATGCTCCAACTGGCATTGCCTTAAAATATACAAAGCAAACATTTTCGCATTGTAAGGCGCAACTGGCTAATCCAGGGGGAGACTTTTTAACACCTTTCTCTCAATAACTGATAAAGTGACCAAACAAAATCAGAAAAGGATATAGTACAGATGGCTTGAACAGCACAAGGAACTTATTTCAACAATCATATGTAGGACAGTAGACCCAATAATTACAGAATACATGCTTTTCAAGCTCATAGGGAACATTTAGGAAAAAAGTTGAAGAGATAAAATATAAAGAAAGACACACAAAAATAGCTCAGTACATAGTCCAAACTCTCCAAGAATCCAATCTATTTTATTTTAGAAAAGACAGAGAGCCTGTCTTTCTTTGCTCTAGCATTCATCTTGAAGAAGGCTCTCAATAGTCACTGGACAGTGGGGATGGCACAGGGTGAGTGAGCAAGTGGCAGGGCAGGCAGTGGAGTGAAGCCCTTTCCAACATGGAGAAAACATGAGGACAAGGTGAGTGGCGCAATCTCTAGGGTGAACTTCCACAAGAAAAGCAAAACAGAGCTGTGACAGCCACCTCCAAGTCCACAGGCAGGCTTGTGGAGGGCTCCTGAAAAGACCAGTCTTTGGGGTTCCAGATGGAAGTGCAGAGACGAACAGATAGGAGTTATAGCGGTAGCATTTGTCCCAATGTTAGGGAGAAGTTTCCACAAAAAAACTTTCCAACACTGGTCACCAATGGGTTGGCTGATTGTCTAAGGACAAGATTGACTCTGTGTGGGACAGGAGTCTGGCACATATTGGGACCGTACTCAGACCACGGACTGAACAGTCTGTCCAGTTCTACACTATCTCACAGATTCTTTCATCCAAAAGTCCCTGAAAGACCTGTCCAAGGTCCCAGATTCAGGAGCTGGTGGAGGAAGGAGGGCTCCAGCCTGGACACTCAATTCTGTCTTTCTGCTCCACTCATCAAAAAAGAGCACACCGTGCCCTGTTAGGCCAACTTCTACCATACAGGTCCAGCACACCCCACTCCTCCACACGTGGCAAGGGATGACAAAAGCATAGAGAATCTGTGCCAATGAAATGCCCTCCGCCTCTTAGAAGAAGGAAAGCAAGCTCACCTTGACCTTGACAACAGATGGCTGAGTTGGGGGCCTGGCTCTGAGGGCTTCTCCTGCGGCCGGCCAGTCATGCTTTCATGCTGCTGGGCAGGCGGGAAGAGGAGACCTGGGTCTGAGGAAAAAAGAAGAAGGAAGGTCACTTCTCATCATTTAACCCCAGCTCGCCACTCTTCTCCTGCAGGGGACACGGCCCTGGCCCAGGGAGTTCCCAAGGGTGCCTTCACCCCTCTTGTGGACCGAGGGGGCAGGCAGTGTGCATTCAACAGACCTCTCCCACGTTCTACGATGTGTCCTACAAAGCCACCGAGATGAATTAGATGCATCCTTGCTCTCAAGAAGAATGGAGAGAGAAGAGAGGAGAGGAAAGGAGAGGAGAGAGAGAAGGGGGGCCTCAAGGTGCACCTGTTGCGATCATTTGGTAAGTGTGTGATTTCCTGAAATCCATCCAACATCCTACATGTGTTACAGGGGAGCTGTGGCAAAGCTACCTGTGACAAAGGACTAGTCTTATTGTGTTTTTCTAATTTTTAAACCATCACAGACAAATACTTTTCCAAAATACATACTTTTCTGAAATAACACAGCACACTTTCCTAAGAAGCCTGGCTGCTATCTTGGTTCAGAGAGGAAGGTGAGAAATAAGAAGGATCCCAGAGTCACCTCTGGAGCACAGAAAGATAGCTCTGAGGCTGCCTCTCCAGGAAGAGCCACACAGGCAGCTTGGGAAAGGGTGGCTCCAGTTCTCTGGACAAGCGATGGCTTCGACATGGTACATTCAGGTCACCAAGCACAAGGCTCAGAGAAAGCTGTCCCTGGAGCCAGGCCTGCCCCACCCTGAGCCTCCCAGCCCTACTTTGCCTCCCCAGGCCCAAGCTGCCTCCCTGAATGAGAACCAGAGTTGTATATTAAGATGACATGGGACATTTCAAAAAATAAATCATTTTCAAAGTGTCAGGAGGGCTGCTGGGGTTCGTTCCTGCTCTTTAATGCTGTAAAAATTACTTTTTTTAAAATTGAGAAATGTTTTGTCTATGAAATTCAGCTTTAAAAATAATAATACAAAAAGGCCTTCCTGTGTGATTACCTTGTGCATAAGGGAAGCACTCATGTCACCTCACTGGTCTGCACGTTCAAGAGAAAGTGCTCACTGCTCTAATCACGCAGGTTTTAAATCGTTCTTATCTTAAACTGTAGAAGAAAACTCTGCAGAAGAAAACCGCCCTTTCAAAGGCCTGTTTGTTTTGTTTTGTTTTGAATGCAAACACACATACAGTCTCACTCCACGCTTCAAATGCTAAATCAGTTGCAATTTTGGAGTTTGTGGCTCATGAAATCCCAGCGATAAGCACATCACAAATATTTCCATAGCAACAGGATGCTTTTGCAGCCATGTCTACCGCCACAGAGATTGTCTGTCATTATCTCTGAATGTTGACGAAAAGAAGGTTGGGTGGGGGGTTAAGTGTTTATGTAGAAGTAAGTCAACGCAGTAACCAGCAACCGAACAGCTGGCCTTACAGAAAGTTAAACAGTGGCATGGGTGGGAAGAGGGAAGACACTCACTTTCTGGGAATAAATCCACCGTCCTTACCCTCGATGTGTGAGAGTGACTCTCCAGTGACCTCCCTTCTGTCCAGTACAGCAGCATGAGTCCCCCATGGGCAGGAATTATGCTTGGACAGCCACACTTCAACTTGTATCGGGCATCTCTGTATGTCAGACACAGGGCTAGACTCTAGGTTTCTAAAGATGGGATTTTCCTTAAAGAAACTCAAGGGAGATGCAAATACAGGTAATTATAATTCCTCCTCCCTGCAAGGAAGGGCTTACTGGCTGGAGTGAAGGGAAAGGAACTGAAATTGATGAGCTCCATCCATCCAACCGTCCATCATCCATCCGATGATCTGGGGGCCTGGTGCGTATAAGACAGGGCCCCGGGCAGGCAGGAGTCCTGTGAGACCCATGCACTCCCTGCCTTCATGGAGCTTACTGTCTACAGGGAAAGCAAAATAAAAATTAGGAAGAACTATAATAGTGGTGCCCTGAAGAAGTGTGGCTTACTCTAACAGCACACAATGGCGACTGGCACGGCAAAGGACCAGTGCTGCTTTCCTAAGGAATTACTCTTGAACTTGAGTCCTAAGAATAAATTTGTGAAGCCAAGTAGAGAGGGCAGGAGAGAAGGACACAGAGAAACAGTTCTGTGGGCACAACGGACAGCTTGTGCAAAGGTCCTGGGACAGGGAAGAGCTGTGTACACTCGTTGCTGGCCTTTCCCCGTACTCTTGTCACTGTGGTAGTTAAGAAAGGCATCATGGATTGTGCTTATCTACTAAGTTCTCCCTCTTCCTAAGATGGCAGGAGGCATCCCAAATGGGGGCCACCTTGCCCTCCCTCCCAATGTCCAAAGAGTTCTAGGATTCCTATCTACTTTTTTTTTTTCTTCCAGATTACAGTGGTAATCTGGCCAGTGGGAAAATGAGTTGGGCGATGCTGACATAGAGTGGCAGTGAGTGTGGGTCTGGGCTGTGGCCGGGCATTGTTATTGAAATGAATGCTGGAGAAGCCTGGCACGGGTGCTGCTGTAAAGAAGGCCACATGGTTCCATGCACGGCCCGTGAGCTTTGGCGCTAAGCAGACCTGGCTCCAACTGACCCTGTCCCTCTGGCTGCATGGCCTGCTCTTCTCCTGGAAGATGGGGTGTCTCAGGAGACCAGCGAGAATACGGCCTGCTCCTAACAGGCCCTGGACAAGAGTCAGTCATTACTCTCAGTCTGCCCTGTGATGGGGGCAGCCATAACCCTCCTTCATGTGAAAATTCATCGGCTCCATGAGGGTCACCCAACGGGTCACAGGGCAACTTGGCAGGGGGCAGAGGGCAGGGGTCACTGACATGGACCAGCGGTCCTACTGCCTCACTGTTTCTTAGTCTAGGGACCCCCTAGGGTTCCTAGCCACTGTGCTAAAAGACCCCAGAGCAATCCAGACACCACCTGGGACTTATAGGGCACTCTCCCAAGAGCTCAGGACCGGAAGAACAGCTCCAGCTCCAGCACCAATGACTGGGAGTCCTCTGGGACAAAGAGCCAAATTCCAGGCAGTAGAGGAGGTGGAGCAGTACACATCTGGAAGACCAATTCAGGCCAAGCATGGTACTGGGATCTCCCGGGTGGAGATCTAGATCTTGTAAAACTTCTAACAGTCCACGGTCTCTTTTGGGGTCACCATTTCTCCAGAGAGGAAACTGAGGCTTCAGCCAGGGGTGTAAAGTGTAAAGTCCCTCCTTTCTGGCCCATCACTACACAGGGAGAGAAATCAGATGTCCTTTCCGGTGTCCCGTGAGGAGACACCTGGAAGGATGGGTGACTTTCCCAGGACTCACAGCCAGCAGGTCATCAGGAGTGACAGAATCTTCCCCTTACCATGTACCGCTGCCTGAGCCTCAGTTTCCCTTCTGTATGATGGCAACAACAAATGCTGTCCTACAGAGTTCAAGAGAATGAAGAGCTGAGAGTCTTGAGGAGGGAAAAACTGAATATACAGAAATGAGCACTTCAAACAGGAATCCAGAAGTCCAAATCAAAGATGAAGGGCTCCCCCTTGGCCACGACGCAGCTGAAATGACAAGGACAGGGGGTGGAGGTCAGCCAGGAAAGGGAGGGACACAGAATTTAAACCCTAGAGCTTCTGAGGCAGGAAACAGGACTAAATGAGGTGTGAAGAATTCTCACACCCACAATAAGTTAGAAACTGGCACAGATTTAAAAAAAAAAAGGGAAGCAGGGAGGGAGGAAGAGAAATGAGGAGGAGGAGGAAGAATGAAATGTGAACCAGAACCTATAGAACGTCTACGAGATGCTGCAGAGTCATCAGTGCAGTGAGAAAGAAGACTCCAGGCTCTTGGGGGCCAAGCGCTCTGAAACCCGAGCGCTCCCCAACAGACACATGGGAGGACACTGATCTTCAAGCAAGTCCCAGAAGTTGTGGAGAAGTGGGGAAAACTCCCATGCTGCCTCCACCACCTCTCCTTTCTTCTGATTCCCTGTCCTACCTCACAGAAGCTGAGATAAGAATCATTTTAGGTAGGCACGGTGGCTCATGCCTGTAATCCCAGATACTCAGGCGGTGGAAATTGGTTCCTGGCTAGTTCAGGCAAAAGCTTAGCAAGATCTCATCTCAACCAACGAAAGACAGGCATTGTGGCATGAGCCTATCATCCCAGCTACTTGGAAGAGTATGATGGGAGGAGGATGGTCAGCACACTTTCCTCCCCCCAAAAAACATCTCCAGGAGGATCATGGTTCAGGCTGGCCTGGGCATAAAAGTGAGACCCCAGTTGAAAAATAAGGCAAAAAAGGGCTGGGGCTATGGCTCAAATGCAGTTGCTAGGGAGTGAGTTGAAACCCAGAACCAAAAAAAAGGGTAATTTTCCTGTACTGGAGGACGGTGTCTCACCTGGTCCATCATGACACACAGGCAGACCCTTTCATCCGGGCTCCGTGTACCTGCTCATTGCAGAACACAGATGCCCGGCCTTTCACAGCAACACTGAAGCATCTCAAAATCAAGAGCATGTCAGATGGACTCATCACAGGCTGACGATGAACTCTGCGACCCAGGCCTTCCACCTTCTTGCTCACAGCTGGTTGTTTGGGTCTTGGCTCCTCAAAGCTCTTTTGTGCCCCAGGGCCTTTGCACATGCTTTCCGCCCCCCTCTCCCCACCTGAGACACTCGTCCCAGCTCTCCTCTCATCCATATCTGATCATTCAGGCTGCAGGATCACAGCAATGTCTCCAATCCACCTTAAATGAGGCAGTGACGTTTAACACAGCTGCAATGGATTAACTGTGTGTCTGTCCGCTCAACTAGGACACGGACTCTGTCCGTTTTTGTGTTGTTTTAAGCTGTGGTGTCTAACGGCCCAGCCCGGCAGTTCTCAGTCCCAGCTGCATATCAAAATCAGCTTAGGAGGGCCTGGGATGGGGCTCAAGAGGTAGGTCACCTACCGAGCAAGCCCAAGGCCCCAAATTCAAATCCCAGTATTGCCAAGAAATAAAATCACCAGGAGTTTTAAAACTCAGACGCCAGGGCTGCACCACAAACCGTGGCTC